TGGCCGGCGTTTCTGCCTTCTGCCGCAGGAGGGACCTGCGGAGGGTCCTGCGCCAGGGCCCCGCCGCTGGCTCTGAACCCCGGCGCTGCAGCTAGGGCTGGGGGGAGCTGGGGTTTCTTCCTCTCAGACTATCCCCTCTTGCTCTTGGCACTGAAGTTGCCCATCTGAAATAAAGCCATGTGGGACAGCTAAGAGGCAAAGATAGCCCTGCTGCCACCAGAGCATGGCAAGAGGCTGCTCGAGGGCAGCGACGGATCCATCTGCGCAGAGCGGGTGACACGATGTGGCCTCAGCAGTGGTCCCTTGCAACGCTCCCCTTGTGGGGCCAGAGCTCCTTGCTCTGCTGCGGCTCAAATTTGGGCCATGAGGCTGGGGCTTGGGGCAGTTTGCCCGCTTGCACACCAGCATCTCCGTAGCGTTGCTCTCTGGGTCTGCTTGGATCACACTAAGCAGTAAATGGAGACAAGGGTAATGTTTTGTATTAAGGTCTCTGAGGGGGTGGGCAGCCCCTATCCAGCCTAGGGTAGGCTAGAACTAATCTTACCTTTACAGATCCACCACCTTGACAGTACCTGGCAGCTTCTGGCTGAGGATTCTGCAGTGAGGACCTGTGCTGAGAGACCCAGTCGAGGACCCAGTGCTCCACAGTGCAGCTATTGCACTGGTAACATAACCACAAGCTGAGCAGCCCTGTCACAAGCGGCTGGGTCTGGGTGCCACGTCTCTCAGTGCTGCTCGGCCAATGTACCTGCGATGTTCGACATCTTTGAGTACAGCATTTCTTCCCCAAAGGCTCTGATACAAGCATAATTTTTTATCAGGTCAGATGAGATGAATTAGCAGTTCCTAAGGGCTTTTACATCTGTGTGTTTGTGAATAAGCAACTTTTGCTTGAATGTCTGTGGTGGGCAGAAGCATCTCAGGGGGGATAAGGACTCTGCTTGGAGGGACTGGCTGCCCATACATGGGATTCCTTAGGCCCTGCCCGCAGCGTGCCATGTGGTGCCTATGGATTACATTCAGTATGCAGGGAGGCAATGCTGTTGAGCCTTGCTTTGCCAGGCTCGCGATTATTTACCTCTCGAATGGCTAGACCCAGGTGTGCTAGGTGTACACGTTGCTGCTTGTCCCGGAGAGCTGTTGGATGAAGTGTTGCAAACTGTGTCCTCGACAAGGCAGCAGCAGTGTGGAAGTGAACACAGGGCCCTTGTCCTGTGCTCTAATAGCTAGTCCTTCTGCCTTTTCGGGGGCACTGATGCTGCCAGCAGCCCTTTTGATGCCTGTACTCTGCGGCCAGAAGGAGAATAGATCTCCAAAATGCCCGTGCTTTAAAGGCAAGTACCACGTTTTGTTCAAATCAAATCCAGTGTCCTCAACACTCCCAATATTTAGTACTAAATACCTCCTTGCAGACACCCCCACTTGTTTTCCATCCTCTTTGCTCCAGAGGGACCACTCTCCATTCTCGCTCTCGTGTGTATCTAATTCTGCGCCCACGGTATTGCAGAGAGTCACGGACTGTTTCTAGGCAGGGTGCTGATGTGAGCTCCTCTGATGAATCACACTGGAAAAGATAAATGATGGGAAACGTAATTGTGCGTGAACATAGCATCCCTGCCTGGCCAGCAATTGAATTCAGTGAGGTTTTATGCTGTACTTATCATTCCATTATGTCAACGATTGCCCACACTATGTAAGCTACCTCTTACTGTCAGCAGTAAAGGTCATTGAGATAGATAGCTGGGACTGCTTTTAATTGAGCCCAAGAAAAAGATGCATAGCCCTGTGTGGGGAATCTGAGCTCAGAATGGCTTTGGGCAGGTTTTACTCATCATGTCTGAAGTTACCCACGGCCAGGGGCATCCTGCTGCACAGCAGTGGGAATGATTTGTGGCTTTTGGTAGAGGCAAAACTGAAGAAACAAACTCACCAGAAGTAAAATGAGGAAATAAATCCTAAAAATGTATCCCCAGCCTGCTTATTTGATCAAATGGTTTTCTCAGCACCGAGCTGCTAAAGTGAGCTCTGGTGTCAAATGGTGTATGCAGCACCCGAAGTGCCCATGGCCAAAGCAGGGCACTTTCATCCCATGTACGTGCTGAGACACTGGTGACAATAACTTTCCTTGGCAGTGGAAGGGACATGCAGGTAAACGCCAGCACTGACTGCTTACAGATAGTAACATCCAGGGCTTAAGAATATTCTGCCACAAAGCTCAATCTTAACATAGATTCGGCGACCCTTTGGTGACAGAGGAATGTAAGATCTGTAAGAAGAGGCAAGCCAGAAAATGAGCTGCTGAATCAGACTGCTGTAAACAGCCTGAGCCTCCCACCACGCTGTGCAGAAAACAGAACAGGCTGTGCCGAGACGGAATGTATTGCAAGTGGCTTCGTCCAAGTTCCAGGTGTGTCACCCGGGCCAACTTTAGTCACCTATCTGTCCTGCTTACGTACCTATCCCTGTGGATGTTCTGCCTTTATTCCGCAGTTTGTAGTGAACTGTCTTGTGCCACCTGCAGCTGCAATCTCTTTCCCCCTCCTGCCCCAGAAATAGCCTGAGAGAATTTCAAGCTGAAGTTTCACTTTTTTTTTTTTTTTCCTCTCCTTCAGGGCTAGTTATTTTTAACCTGGCTCAATTCCCAAATCAGACTCGCTGCCTGGCTGCGTGCTCGTTGTACCAACACACTTGGAAGAAGCAGGGAAGCGTGTGCTATAGCTGTGAAAGAAGAGAGGTGGCCAGAGGAGGAGAGGCTTAAGCTAGCACTGCTGCTAAGAGAAACACCTGTGAAAGTAAAGCCTTGGCTTCCAACTTCTCAGGTACATTCCCAAAGAAGCCTAAGGAATAGCCCTAATGCACCCAGCAGGCAGGGATACTGTGTCCATCCATGAGTTGGAAGCACACTGTCAGTCCTGGGAATTGGCCATTTCCTGATTTAATCTCAATTTACCTGACCTACACAGTTTAGATGGAGGTGGTGATCATGGCTCGCTGCCACTTGAGGTCACCCCTTTCTCTCAACAAGTGGCACAGGAGCAAAGAACAGATTTAACAGCATAAACAAAGTGGTTCAGAGTGCTGATAAGGGACCTGGGCCCTGCAAAAGCCACCAGCAAAGCTTCAGGAAATGGCAAGGTGACAAGTCTGCAGCGGTGGTGAGAGCCTCTCATTCCCTTGGCAAAAGGAAAACGTCAACCCAAGCCGTGGGTTTCTCCAGCACCTGATTTTGGCTTCCTGCTATGCAGGTCCTCTGATGGGAGCCAGTGAGAAGCGTCTGTGCTCCAGGTCCTGGGGGAGGCATCCAGGATCCCCCAGTTTGGCCCCTAGGATAGTTTAGTCCTAGAATACCACAAGGTGAGGGGTGGTTGTGGTAGTGGGGATTGTTTCTGGATGCTTTGAAGCTGACAGAGCAAGTACAACTGGTTAAGTCCACGTGTGTCAAAGGCCCAGGTAAATCTCAAGTGAGGTTTTCTATGGCAAGGTAAGACAGAAGCTGTGTGAGGCCATAAAATCAACATCCACAAGGTTAGACTGTGAGGCAAGCAAGGTTTATTGAGAGAGACTTGTTTTTATTCTATTTACTATTGCACTGTAGTTGAAAACAGTAGCTTAGTAGCTCAAAACAGAAGTAATTCCACATGGCAGTGTAGTCACGCAATTTTCCCTTGCTGAGCTTATCCCAAACCGGAAACTTAAAAAGAAAATTCATCAAGATTTTTAAAGAAAATTTAGTTGATTATTTTTCATCTTAGAACATCACAGTAATTTAAAACAATTGCCTGAAAGACAAGTTACCTGAAAGTTAAGGTTGGTTGGGAATTTTTAGTCTTGAATTTCTAGTATGAGCAACATTTTCTTTTTTTTTTCAAACTTTAGGTCTGACTCCATCGTTCCCCAACAATCATTTGTCCTCCTAGCTCGGAGTCCGGATGGGATGAGCGGGTCCGTAATGGTCGTGATGAAATCCTTCTATCCGTTAGCAAGCACTCTATGGTTTGCTGGGGCTGATGAAATCCTGACCCTGAAATAAGAAATTCTGGAAAAAAATGCAACTCATCTTTACCATTGCAGTACTCTTGAAGTAAGAACCTTGCGAATTAACCTTAGAAAATGCTGCTGGAAACTCCCATTCCCTCAGTGCACAAGGCGGGTGCAAGATCCACCGCATATGGGAAGACTCATTCCCACGGGAGGAGGAGGAAATCCCCAGCGCTGCTGAAGAGCCTGCTGTCCCCTGCAGCTGCCCTCAGTGCTCCGGGAATCCTGGCTCTGCTCCGGCTCACGGAGCAGGGGATTGCTGGGGAAGGGCAACATGCGAGTTATCACCCGGGTACCTCTACAGACAGCAGGATGGTAAAAGCGGGTCATCCAGCATCTCCAAAACCCAGCATAAAGCCAAGGTTTCCCCAGGTTTCTACAGTGATGGGAGCGAAGACAGATTTCCTGTTCAGACCTACCCACTCCCTGTGCTCAGCTGCCGGAGACGTCCCCTGCAAAGCCTGTTTGTAGCACAGGAACAGCCCCGGGCGTCGCATGGAGCACGCAGTGCGCTGCGCGATTAATTAAAGCAGATCTCTGACAACAGCTTAGCACCCCGCTCCGCAGTGCAGGACTGCGGGAACAGGGAGCCCCGCCAGCATCACGCAGGGGAAAAGGAATAACGCTGGAAATGGCACCCACATTCTGAGTCACTAGTCAAGCTTTCTCATTTCTGCAGCTTTCTACAACTCCTGCTGCTTGGCTTGTTCCTCCTCTCACCCAGTTGCTGGGCTTTTCTCACTGGGAGTTATGTTTTTCTGGTCAGCGGTGGGTGCTCGTTCCCCACTTCCAGCAGCACATCCACTGCAGGGTTCCCCTGGTTCCTGTGGGAGAGGAACAGGCGTTTCTGCGAACGGTCCTTGTCTGATTGCTGCTCGTTTAAAGAAGGATTTGAATTTAACTAAAGCAGCCTCTGACCAAACTTTGAGGATGTGATTTTCCAGTGCAGCGGTAACCCCCTCCCGCCAATACAAAGAGCTGCAGCCTGTTTTTGAGGAATAAAAAAAACCAGCTAGTGTGAAAGACTTAAATACGAGAAAGGTCAGCAGGCTCTAGGGAGGCATCGTGGATTCAGGTAGCATCCGACAGCGGCATCTCCTGCCCTTCCGTAGCCTGAAGCCGAGCGCGGTGCCGCTGCAGAGCCGCCTGCTCCGCGGCGCAGGGCTGACTCACGCTGCAGTGCCCAGCGCGGGCGCGATCTGCCGCGCTAGAGACAACTCTGTGCGTGCCAGCAGGCGCCGCCTCCGCTGCATCGGGCGCTCCAGAGCCCGGCCTCTCACGGTCTGGCGCTGCCTGTTCTCTTCCAAACCAACTATCAAGTCACCTGTGCCAACCCCGTGGCCATAAATGTTCAAGGAAACTATAGAATTCTCTCCTAGCAGTGTTTGCAGGCAGTGTCTTTCCCACTCCCTGGCAAGGGCTGCATTCTGCTAGCACGCTGCTGGCAGGAAATGAAGGAAAGGGACCGAAAGCTCCATAACTTTCCTAATTCCCTGGCTCACTTGAGAAATCTGCTGACAAAACAGGGTCGACAAAGGACTTGGAGCGCGAGTTTTCAGCTGGGAGTCAGAACCAAGGCTCTGGAGCATGACCACCAGTGCAAACGTGTGGCTGAGGCAACGCGCTCAGACTGCTCATTTTGCTTCTAGCTCCTCGGCTGGCTCTGGCTGCAGAGCAGCCCTCCTGTGCGTTTGCCCCAGCTTCTGCTTGATGCTCTGCTCCGCTGCCTTGCGTGGGCTTATGTAAGAATGGAAGGGCTCGGCCTTCTAAGGCACGAAGCTGAACGCTTGGCGAGGGGATTTCGGCTGCCTTTCGTTATGTAAGTGTCTGTCATGAACTTGAGCCGGTAACTGCCACCTTTCTGAGAGATGTCACCAAGCTACAACATGACCTTAGAGAGGCCTGCCTTTAACTTGCTTTTATTTTTCTTCTGGAGAGTTACCACCAACACTTAGTTGCTCTCCTAAATACCATTTGCTCACAATCCTCTGAATCAGGTGAAAGCCAGGCTGAGAGCAGACTCCCCCCCAAGGAATGGAAGGACAGACCCTAGAGAGGCGCTCACAGCCCTGGCCAGGGCTCTGCCGCTCCTGCTGCAGGTCCGGCTGTCCTGCCTCCGAACAGCGTGACAGGGAACAGGCTTTGGGAAAGGGCCTGGCGGCCGAGTGCGCAGGGTTAAGCACAGTTTAGGTATGCAGACTCTACTACTTTTGCTCAAGGAAGACTAAAATGATGCAAGTGAGCAGGCTCTAGAAAAACTTCCCTCTGATGCTTCACAGACATCCAGCATTTTCCATATATCAGTTTATGCCTCTGCACCCAGAGCACAACCATCACTACTGCCAAGTGCTCCCAAGTCACTCTAAAATGTAAGACTTGCAGGGTACCCCCCTACAAAGCCAAGCAGTCTGTTAAATGAGTTCAGGCAGGTCAGGTTTTAGAAAACAGAGTGAACCAACCCATAAAACTGTACATTTATGGAAGCTGTGATGAGAACCACTGCTAGAACTTGCTCATAACCATCCTGACTGCTCCCTGTTCTGCAGACCAGCTACATGGGAGGTGCAGGTGCTTCTACCACATTGATGCTGTGCCTTGGGCCACAATCCTTTACAACACAGATACTTGCTCCCTTCCTGCAGAGGTGTTCACATTAAGTGCATTCATAGAATAAACCTACACCACTGCTGCCAGCCCCATGCTCTCAGCACAGCTGAGAGGGGTTGTAACAGATCCCTGCAGATGCCCCAGCTTGACTTAACAGCAAGATACCACAAGTGGCAGCAGTCCAGGCATGATGGGCAAGGCCCAGACAGAACAAAGAGTGCACCACTCTACATCACACCATGAAGGTGATACAAGTTCTTACCATGTATAATTTCCCCCTTATGAGTTGATTAGCTAAAATTAATTTATCTTCAGAGAAAAGACAGTTATTGAGGTATCTTAGTGGTAACCAACACTGGCAACCAGCACTTTTGAATAAGATGGGGTTTTTGCACTGCCTAAAGCACTTCTGACAGCTTCTGCTAAGACTACATCCTTGTCCCTGACTACCCTGCTCCATGGAAGCAGCATGTGACACTAGGGGAAGAGACACGATTGTCAGGTTGTGCCTGAGCAGCAGCCACCATGGCTGTTCCTCCCAGGCAGCTGCTGGGAGCACCCTTGTTCTCTGCCCAGGAGAAAGGTCACATGAGCCTTTACTTACAGGATGAGACTCTTCCAGACCTTTACTTCAAGAATCTACCTCCCTAAGAGAACTTTTCCCCTTCCTGCCCAAAATTAAGCCACAGGAGTCTGTTACAGCAATGTAGTGAGGAAGTTTTATTTGGAAACGTTGTATAACTTTGTAACCCAACACTGGATGCACGACTTTGATGCCGGAGCATACGCTTTTACTACTGGAAACACAAGAGTGTTTCTGACAATTGCTGTAATATAACACGACAATTCTCATATTCCAATACCAGGACACTACAGCAATCTTTTAGAATCAAAATTACATCCAAGGAATTCTCTGCACTTACAATTGACCCCACAGTGTAATAATCTACCTATATAAGATTAATATATATAGCATGGGAAATTGAAAAACCTTGCTCCATGGGTGTATGAACATGTCAAGTCTTTTATAAATAAACATCCAGTGAAGAGAAAATTACACATCTAGTTCATATTTATACATAAAGTACTAACAGCAAATGGGTGGAAAATTGCACACAGGCCACCCCAAGCCACGCAGGAGGCTTGGAGCAGCCCATCCAATTTAATATTGAAGTATACACAGGACAGACAAGTCACTAACATACGTTGCGCATTTACAAGAGATCAACTACCAAATTGGGACAACTGTACACATTGGAGAGACCATTTTCATTCTGGAGCTTTTTTTAAAATGTAGATTTGTTATATCTCTTTACATCATAGTGTGACATTTACTTTGTAGAGAGGATAAGGGCAACAATGAGGCCATAGAGACCCAAAACTTCAGCGAAGATCAAGATGAGGATCATGCCCACAAATAACCGGGGCTGCTGTGCTGTTCCCCGTACACCTGCATCGCCCACGATGCCGATAGCAAAGCCAGCAGCCAGGCCACTGAGGCCCACACTCAAGCCAGCACCCAGCTGAAGAAAGCTCCTGTGGGACAGAGATGAGAGAAGTTTCAGTGGCAAGCAGCAAACCCAGCCCTTTACCTGCAGACTAGGCAGTTCTTTGCTCTCCCAAAGCAAATTTAAGAATTAAAAGCATTTAAAGGGAGCCTCCCATACTCTTAGGTGAGGAGTTCCAGGTCCTGCAGCCAGACCTCTGAAGGAGCACATGCTTCAAGGATCAGGAGCTTTGCAAGACCCAGATCAGCTGATGTTCAATGACACCACATGAGCTACGCTCGGGCACTGGGCCTACAAGTCTGCACAGCCCTCGGGGCTGCCGGCAGCCGCTTTGGTCAGCACCAGGCTCCACATCCTACTGAAGCTGCAGATATTCCGGCCACAGGGGCCACCTACAGCAGTGCCCCTCCCACACCACTGGGTAGCCTGCCAGCTGCTTCTTTCCTGCCTTTAGCCACCTTACTGTATCATGGCACATCTGGATAATTAACACACTGCAATGCAGGAAAGTTGCACATGAACCAGATGCACTCAGGTCAGTAGCGAGTGGCCCATTTTTCCAGACTAGGGTGCCTGAGGAGCAGTTCCTATCGCTATTTGACCATCTGGTAACCAAGCAATAACATGAACCTGCTGTTTCTCATATCAAGGCCAAATCTGACCAGGCCTAACATAAGGCTCATGAGTTAGAGCTTGCACAACGGCACAGGCATCTACCCTGTTAGACATCGTAGAGACGACATTGTGTCGTGTTACCCTAACAAGGTTCAAGCCTCTCCCAGCTACTCCAAAAAGCCAAAGGTAGATTAAGTTTCAGGCTGTAGCAGGAGTAGAAGCACCGTGTCTAGCTTGAGGATTGGCTTACCAGCATATAAGTAGTGAACAGTATTAATTATTCACATGCATCTCCCAGGCAACAGCAGAGCCACTTAGTAACTCCTTGGAAGACATACGTATTCCAGGTCTAGAATCTAGCTCCATGAAACAACCTTCACTTCCTATCCTAGGACTCTGAACACTGTTTCTTGCAAATTGTAGCTTCTGCACTACCTCCAGCAACACCATGTCCAGCCTGTGAGCTGCCACTGAAGGCAAGGCATGAGGCAGGACAGCTGAAATCCAGCCCACGCCTGCAGCCCCGCTCAGGCTTATTAGCCTTTACACTGCATTTTGGCATTGCCAGCGGTGACACCCCCACATTTGGGAACAACAAAGCTGTGACTCACAAGCATAGATGGACCCAAGGGGGACAGCACCAACTTACTTGAATAGCGTGATGGAAGAAGAGAGTGCGTTGGCAATGAGGACTGCCACTACCAGGCCATAGATGGCTATAATACCCGCCATGACGACAGGGATGATTGACTTCATGATCAGCTCAGGCCTCATGACAGACATGGCTGCGATACCTGTGCCACTCTTTGCTGTTCCATAAGCAGCTCCCAAGGCTGGAAGAGAAAAAAGTCATGTTAAACCTGTTCCCAAACACCATCTCTTTCCTTAGACCACAGTGCTGGAAGTGCTGAGTCAGCCCAGGGAAGAGTCATGCAAATCTAACATGGTCACTTGACTACTTGATTCATCTGCCAGGAATATTTCCAGAAGGATGGGGAGTAACTTATAACTTATCTAGTTTCAGTCTAGAACTAAGGAGAAGAGCAGCTCTCCTGCTCTGTGATAAAACACTTTCTCCAACCTGGTTAGCTTCATATGCAGGGAATCCATTCCCTAGAGACCAGTGCTTAGGGCCTAAACCTGATCTTGCTACTTCAGAGTCCATGTCCTCAGGAAGCCCTTCCAGGAGCAGCTGTTCAGCTGAACTGTGGCAGAAATGCAGCAGCAGGACATGCCTGGTTAATGCAGCAGGACATAACATGAACAAAAACTACATTTCTTACAGTCACTGAGCTTTAAGCCACTTAAACATGAGCACATTCAAGAACTCAACCCAACAAGTTGTTTCCCATCAGTGTCCTTCAAGGCTTCTTTCATTACAAAGCCTATGTGGCCCAAGGATTGGGCTGCAGTAAAAGACACTTTCAGTTGTATCAAGCATCCAAGACAGCAGGGAGCCACACTTCCTTCCTTGCTGAAAGGATCATTTAGCTAATATCTACTTGTAAAGGACTTGACGCCAATCACCTGATCATCCAACTCCTGGAACCAGAGTCAGAGCTTGTAGGCAGAGCCACCTTGTTCCTGAGCTTCACTCAGGCACACGATCACCCACCCAGCTGCATCGCCCCAGCACACCAAGATCAAGCCATGAGCCCAAAGCCAGGTTTGCAAATCAGAACACAAGCTTGTTACCTCACCTCCAAGGGAGGTCTGCTGGATCTCAGACCTACAGTCCTACCCCAAAGTACCTTCTGCCTTGAAAATGTGCATTAATCTCACAAAAGCTTCAACAAATGCTTCATGCTTTGATTCTGAAATACTTGGGAAGACCCTGTCCTTTGAAATTTACCCTGGAATTGGACATTCCCCAGCCATCTGGGCTGGAACACAGGATTGCACTCATCAGCACTGAGATGGATTGGTTAACAGCCATGACTTGGAACAGCATAGTCAGCTGTTTGGAGAGGGAAGCTCCTCCTCAGACACCTTCAGGTGGATATTCAAAGGTGTCAGTCCTGTTTAACCAGCATGAAGCTGCTCTAAAAGGCTATCGGAAGTCACTTCACTCCTCAGATTTGCTATGCCCAAGTTTGTTCAGCCCATCTCTAAAAGGGAGCTCTGCCTGTTCCACAGTGGGGCTTTATTCGTTCCTCTCACACTAGTATCCATACGGGGAATGCCGCAGCTTGGGCAGAAGAGTTGCTGGAAGGTATTCATGGGGTTTGCAATATACGGTTTCCCACTCCACATTCAGCATCTACATAAGATTCTATCCTCAAGCAGTCAGGAACTGAGTAGTACTCCTGGTTTTGCACTAAATCTTCAGACAATTAATCAAGTTCACAGTACTAACACAAAGATGACCATCAAGAGGAGGTTTAGTTTCAGTTGTAGAGACTCACTCACCTACAGATCACTCCTGTATTAACAGCCTCCTGCAGACTGGTTCTTCTGCAGTCAACAGGCAGTCACCACTGAGACAGACTCACTTCTAAACCACCACTGAGCAACTCTTTATATCTGCACATCAGAACCAAGAGCAGGAAACAGATTTTAGTTGAAGATTTAAGCTATGAGCCTGGGAACCAGCACACAGTCTCAGCCCAGCAAAACCAGTGGCAACAGGGAAGTGCCTTTCCCTTGGGAGATTTAAGACAACAGAAATCACCCTGTATCCTGCTTGAATTTGGAGCTTTCTCTTCTGGCTGGAATATCTTTCAGCGACACAAAGAATGTGGATTCAAGAGGCAGATGACCTACTTATAGACTGGCCGCAGCATTTCACACAAGCTATTTCTTTCTGTCCAGAATCTTTTGCAATCCTCTGCAGGAAAGCAGATGCTTTGAGGGAGGAGAAGTTCACCGTTCAACGCTAGTGCAGTCAGTAGCTCCCCCAAGCCTGAAGTCAAACATGTTGCAATTAATAGGGGGATGACTTACAGAAGCCGATTTTGTAACAGCACTTACAGAAAGCCAGTCTGCTTCCGTGGAAGGGAAGATCAGGGCAGGTTTGTGACTTCACAGTTGCTCTGCTCTAAGGCACACACAGATGCTTCCATCTGAGCATGAGCTATCCACACTTCTCATCTTGGCTCTGGGACAGCTCGTTGCCACAGTTTTAGGTAGCCCCAGTGCGATTGCACTACTGGGGGCAAGGGAAAGTCACAGACCCTGGAAGAACAAGCCCCAGTGGGGCCTGACACCTCTGTCCCCAGGGGAGACTTGCAGTAGCCTCCTGATGGGCAGCTCACCCTGGAGTTCCTGCAACTGCATCTCTGCATCTCCTCCAGGACAGCCGGCTCCACTGCGCTTCACTAAACTGAGAAGCAGTTCCTGCACCCCAGGCAACACTGCAGACTGCATTCCAGCTGGCCCAGACCATGTCCATCTCCTAGCAGGACACAGCCATAAAGCATCACAGCTCTTCACCTGCAGGTCACACTTAGCACTGAGATCATTGTCATGTACCTCTTGACAACTGGGAATGTTTGAAGCACAGAGTTTCACATATATTCTGTATTTAAGATACCATTGAGTTAGGAGATAAGGACACAGCTTCTTGGTAAATAGGGTTTGAAAAGCTGTATGGCAAAGATTGAAAGCAGGAACAAGAGGTATTCATTGCCGCACACCAGGACTGCAGCTGCTCAATAGTGGTTATGTTATCAACAGCTTTCAAGTCAAAGGAGCATTCGCATAGATCCCACTTCCTCCAGGCTCAGCTGAAGCACCCCGCTGTGCTCAGCCAGGCAGCAGGGCCTGCCCCAGCACAGCCAGGGCCTGCCGAGCAGAACCCACGTCACTGCGGTGGGACCCACAGCACAGACAGAGCAGAGATTCCAGAACACTAACAAACAGCACTTCCTTGCATTAGGAAGCAAGTCAGCAATAACAGCCAGGCTTTCCATTGATGTATCACGGGTTACTGTCATAGTGCTTCTGACTTCTGCTGTTTCTCAGATGAGGACTTGTACCTGGGGCCTTGATTAATCCTGTACCAGACAGGCTGCCCCATACAGCAGGAAGGAGGCTTCTCCCAAACCCAGCAGAGGCACCAGTTCCCCTGAAGTCCTGCTAGACTTTGTTCTTGACCAGGAGGCGCAGAGCTCTACAGAGACTGCATCCAGGTCAAGCACACTTCTTGCTTTGCCATGCTGGGAGCTGGGGCGTTTTCAAAGGAACAGGCTTCCTCCCACTGAGACTCAGCCAGTCTGAACATGAGCACAGCCATATCTCCAATTACAATGAGCAGCCACACGAAGAGCCCATAAAACCCTGTTGCTGTGTACAGTTTCAGCACCATATAAAAGAGGTGGCCACATCAGTGGCGTATCTGCAGCCCAGGCAAATTCAAATTACACTGAAAACTTGAGCTTGTTCCCCACTGGTAACTGTGGGGAGTAAACAGATAAGCACATAGTGTCCTGCAGAGTGGCTCTTTAGCGAGTCACCTCTTGTAGGAGTAAGGAAGAATAAAAACACACAGTCCCTAACTCCAGAGGGTGTGGAGATTTCAGGCAGACCTAGGACATTGAGGGTACAGCATTAAGAGTTAGTCAGCAAGGCTAAGGGGCAATTTACTCCTGTTCAATAAATCTGAGAAAGGAGGGCCTGACACTTTCTTTACCATACAAACTGTTCTGTGAGCTGAAAGGTGACATTTCTTATGCTGGGGGTCTGTATGCTCCAGACATGGACTAGCAGAGCTGTTATTTCAAGCTGCTGCCGGAGTCCATTTCACCCATCCAGCCTGCACCACTAGCCAAGGTCATTTGCAGACAGAAGGGCCCATTTCTGACACAGAGGTCAAGGTCATCTCACAGGGCACCCAGTGAACTAGCCAGACTAGCCCAGTTTGAGGCCCTGTACACATCAGCTTCACTTTTTGAAGAGGGCCCAGCAAGCTCAGCAGGTTGCACCCCATGTTTTGTGGTGACAGCAGGGCACATGGAAGCAGGCACTTCTGGAGCTGCGCGTCTCAAGCATCACCGATCCGTTTGGTCAGGCCAAATACAAGTTTTTTAGGCCTGTGACCATCAGCCCAAACCCCTCAGGCTCTGGGCAGGTATGATTAGGCCTGAGGCAGCTGGTGCTCATCTTCACTGCTTCTTCCTGCAGATGCTGCAGTCTGCAGCAACTTCAGGGTGAGGCAGGAGCCCTACCAAGCACCCAGGAAGGCAGCCCCAGGACAAGCAGCAGCATGAACCACTTGAGCCAGGTTCTGCAGAGCCAAGGGTCAAAATTGTTTCTATTTTGATGCTGAATCTGGATTTCAGCTGTTCCGAGCACTGGTTACTGAGTGGAAAGGAGACCCTTAATTCAATGTCTTCCCTTATCTAAGCTGTGGAAATACAGCTTACTTCTCTTATAATACTTCTCTGATGTACAATATTTTACCTGCTTGCAGTAAAATCTGGTTTATGCTAGTCTTTCTGCTTCAGAGTTTGGTAGTTCCAAGCTTTGATGCACCAATTCTCTTTCCTATGCAACTACTCCTGCTCACACCACACCACCTTCCAAGTCTTCTCTAGTGATTCTGGAACACAAAATGGCATCTTCATTTGCACTTTACTTTGAACTTTATTTCCCCCCCGCTTCAAGTTATAGCTAAGGAACCCATAGGCTTCTCTTCAGATAAGGTCTGAAAGTCTTCATGTAAGTCAGCAGCTCCCTTCTCCCAGAGAAGACCCAAGGAATTGCAACATTTCAGGAAGCATAGACATAATTTGCCTGCAAATGTAGAAGTTGTTTTCACAGGTATATTCAAAAATCAGACTGAGGTTCAGGCCATGCATGAAGCTAGATGAAACTAGATGAGGTTCAGGCCGTGCATGAAGCTAGTTCTGAGTCA